TTCGATATGAGTGTTTTATTAAAAAAAAAAAAAAGATAAATAATAAATATCCAACGCATAAATTAGATCTAAGTTGGGAATTGACAAATGTAACATGCCTAATTTAAAAATCAAAATCACATTCACAAATAACAACACTGTTAAATCCTACAATATTTGCCTACTCAGCGCCGTAACATGACGTTAATCTTTTAAATATTAAAACATTTACGAACGCACTTCTATAATCTCTACGTCTAAAAAGGTATAAAAACTACATTCGCCATTGTGGGGGTCCGTTTTAAAATGTTAAAACGCTTTGTTGTTAAGGGCTTATCCAAAGGGTTGTAAATAATGACGGAGCAACTCTTTATGGAAAACTAAACGGTCGCCCTCGAACGCATGGGGTCGTGCTTTAAACAAAAGTGTTCTTTGCGCGAAAGCTTCGGTGCACGGTGGTTAAGAGCTTTTTGATGGTGAGTGATTGAAAAAACGTTTTTTTGGCAATAATATTGCCATTATTTGGAACTTCCAATATTGTATAGTCTGTATGCGGTTTGGAGTGTAATCAAATTGTTGCACAATTATTTCATTTTGTAGACCATTCACGTATTTAAATCACCATAATGGAATCTAAATTACAAGACGACATAAAGTAAAGTCGATGAATGTTTTAAAAAGATTATAGGTAGGTACATGCTCCTCATTCATTTCTATCCATTTAATATAAAGCACTTTGTAACGTTGTGTCTGTGTGTGCCGATGTGTGGTGCATAAGCCCCCATCCAGTATATCACCCAGCTGACACTATCTTGACAGGCGGACAGGACATCAAATTCGGACATTTCTATTACTAAAATATTGCTGTTCAATACACATTTTCATTATAACAAAAATAAATAAAACAAGCAATATAGAGCATCCCGTTCTGATTGCAACCTTTATTTGTTTTGGATGTACAATATAATTTAAAAGAGATTGAATGTCGTGAGAAAATATTGTGAATAGCACGTGTTACTTGCTATAGATAAAGCTTTTATGAATTTTTCGCAATAATGTCTCTTTGTACAAACAACAGATCGTTCACCCACTGTGCGTGATTTCTATCAATTTTCCGTCGCTGTATTTTGCATTGGTTTGTAAATATTAATAATGAGGTGTTATATTAATACATTTTGAAGAGCTAATATTTTTATACTGACACATTTTTGTTTGGTTTGTTATTGGCATATGAAATCTATTCCAAACGGATTTTGTACTGTAAAGGCGAGCCGTGCGGATCATTTAGACACCGAGTTCGATTATTTTATGAGAGTTTTTCAACAAACTGTATGTAATAAATATTTTTATAACATAAATTACTATCCAAAATAATATTAAAACACAAAAACAACTAAGTAAGGTTTAGAAAATGAATGATCTACTTAAGTATTTGCATAAAAGGCAAACGTGTGGAATATTAAATCTTCTCCAAGTTGACTGACATCATCAATGGAATATTATTATTTTTGCTTATGATATGTATGATAATATGATAAATAAAATTCCTAGACCTAGAGTATAGGGTAGCTGCTTAGATTTTACTTAAAAGCTAATTTTAGTCAGTTATTTTGTTTTAACGCATTTTACTGTCAGCTTGTAATAAGAGTTCAATCACTAATGCTATCCATGAAGCGCCGTTGCTATAGAATCGTTGATGACAAATTTCTGCAGAGTAGATGTTGACTATTTATAATAATCCGAAGGAACCAGTGTTGCATATATCGATTTAGTTACACTTCTTATTAAACTTTGAAAATAATAAAGAATTATTGAATCTTTTCCTTCATAGCTGTAGCTCTATTTATTGCTCATAATTTTTTATCTGTAACGCGTTATGGTCTACGAAATCGCGTAGCAAAATCGTAGCGCGCGAGTAAAAATGCGCAAACGACGCGCGCGCGCAATCGCGCGCATACGGCTATTAATAAAAAACCACCTGCATAATCCTACAGACATAAAAAACCACAAATATCGCAAAATAAATAAAAATTAAACACAAAAATAAACCTCGTGTTTGCACAATTGGCTGACTCTATCCAGATATCACGTAATGGTCGCTCCAAAATGATTCCAGCTCACAATAAAATTGATAATCGTGCTAATCCTTATTTGCACTGAAGGTGAGTGAAGTGGGTGGCCAGATAAGGCAACAGGTAGACCCGATCAAGCATTTCTATTGGTGAATTTTGCGTTCGTATCGCGACAGGAGTTTGGCCCCAATGTTTTCGTAGCCTATTCAATTAGGGACTGAATCATTATCAATATTAGTATTATTTTATGCAAATAAAATGTGCAATGTAATCAATAAAGTGGTGAATATTCACGATAAATCAATGACGCGTGAAAAGTTTGCGCGAGTTTTTTGTAAGTCGCATAGATACTAGCGCCGCGAGCGGTCGTTTTGGGTAACTGAACTGCACTGTGTTTGCAGACCACTTAGTACTTACAACCGGTAAGCTATTTCACTCGTAGTTCAATAGTATGTTTACATATTTTAGGAATTTTAATCATATTAGATATCTTAGGGAAGTATTACCTAACAATGAGGTATCTACTTTAAACTCAGCCTCAACTTTTTATTTGCGCATTGTGCAATACTCGTACTGCATTTTGTACCTAGCCGTAATACGAGTAAGTAAATAAGACAAGAGTAACAGGCAGGGAGGTTGGAGTAGTTTCAAGAGAAAATTACTGAATTTTAGCGAACTAAGTATATGTAGATCATTTCGTAGTTAATTATTGTCCCTTTCTTACACCTGTTCTGCCCCCCAGGGGCCTCAGGACAAGTGGCAAAACGTAAAGATAAAGTACCTATAGATTATTCTCGAGCATTTCTTTGTAATGTAACGTTCTTAATAAATGTACGACGTTTGATTCATGAAAAGGTGGTGATTATAACATTTCATAGAGCGTCTCGTTGTACTGTTATAAGTAAATGCTCCAGTCTATATTCACCTTTAAAGTTGAAAATTCAAAGGGCCTTCGCACTTGTGTTTTTTTTTACTTCGCTCCGTGACTCGGTTCGATTTTCGGAGATGTCAATCAAATAAAGACCTAAGACAGTATTAATCAAAGTAGGTATATATGTAAGGCAATGCTACCAACCGGAACCGGCCAACCATGTTCAGCAGTGGACGTCCTATGGCTGAGATGATGACGATGATGATAATGATGATGAAGGCAATGCTACCTAAAATTAATTAATTTACTTACATGCAATGTATTACGAGGACCGGGAATTTGCTTGCACGGTTTCTTGTATTAACGGGGCGGGCATCTCCCAGCAACTTAATTAATTTCGTACCTTATTCTACAAAAATATTACCTTAAGCGTAATATCTTTATCACTGAACCAAAAAGTAGTAAGTAACTAAACAATACATTGCCTTTTTTTTGCATGTAAGTAACTAAACAATACATTGCCTTTTTTTTGCATGTAAGTAACTAGTAATAGAAGCAGTGGCGGCGTAGCATGGGTTGGCACCCGGGGCGATCACACCCCCTCCCCCCGGCATAAGTCCTAAGGCACCCCCTGGTACCACTGATTTTGGGGTTACCTACCGATTCGAAGATTGAAAGACAATCGCACCCCCCTCCCCCATATCATGACATAGACGCAGATTTGCCATGCAGATGAGCCAGTGAGTAGGTACTACGAGGGCGGCACTGAAAATTTCGGGAATCAAGGAAGTGAAACAACATTACTATTTAAAAATGTATATATTGCTTTTTAAAGTATTCTCCGCGAAATTTGACACATTTTTCCATACACGAAACCAATCATTGAAGCAACCATTGCATTCGGAAGTTTGAGTCTCCAAAATGGCCGTTTTGTAGGCTTCCACAGCTTCTTCAGGTGATGAAAATCTCTGACCACGCAATTTATTCTTTATTTCTGACAATGTGCATTTAGAGATACATTCGGACAATCCGCATCGTACAAGAATAATTATACACGTTTTGGGATGAAAAAACAGCACTATCATCAAGAAACATTTATTTACTATCCATATTACTTCAAATAATCACCAATATTCTTTAAAAAAAACACGGAAAATAATAAAAATTATCAGCCGGTGCGTAGGCGCCTGTCAACGGTCTGACATTTTGCATATTACTGTTAAATCTGTGCAGCTTGTAGTGATTCTATACTGTTTATCACAATCTGTAGTATTTGGACTAACGTTATATTAAAAAACATTTGAAAATAGTTTTTGGTTTTTCCCCCATATTTTTGTTTTGGTCAACGTATCTTTAAATGCACAATGCCAAGAAAAGGGTTAAGCGTAATATCTTTATCACTGAACCAAAAAGTAGTAAGTAACTAAACAATACATTGCCTTTTTTTTGCATGTAAGTAACTAGTAATAGAAGCAGTGGCGGCGTAGCATGGGTTGGCACCCGGGGCGATCACACCCCCTCCCCCCGGCATAAGTCCTAAGGCACCCCCTGGTACCACTGATTTTGGGGTTACCTACCGATTCGAAGATTGAAAGACAATCGCACCCCCCTCCCCCATATCATGACATAGACGCAGATTTGCCATGCAGATGCGCCAGTGAGTACTAATCTGCGCGACTTGTGTCACCCCCTGATGCTTGGCACCCGGGGCGGACCGCCCCCACCGCCCCCCCCTTACGCCGCTACTGAATAGAAGTTATTTTCTTAAGGGACTAGGTACATCATTATTAAGTATTTTTATAGGTAGTCGCTTTTTGGGGCTGAGTGGCGACCACGAGCTGGAAGACGTATTTAGCGCACGCTGCTAGCCGTTCGTGGTCTGCGAAGATCGCAAAAGGAACCTGTGGGTCGTTTGAATTTTTGGGGGAGATCTTAAAACGAATGAACGGTGATAAAAATAATTCAAACAAAAGACTTGGCTGTATAGAATGATGTCATTGCCTAAAAAGAATCGATCCAAAAAAATTACACTGACATTGACAGCCACACTGACAGCTGACAGCCCAACTGTTGATTGATTGTTTACCTACGATTTTTATTTCTATCTAATCAAGTATTTATGTAAGCAAAGTGAAACCAGTGAAACTAAAGTAGCTAATAAGTTATCTATGTAAAAGTGTTCATATATGTTACAAAAGCATGGAAATATTAAAATAAAATTTCACATTTCTGTTGTCTATCTAAGTCTGTTGTGTACTTTGGACTGGCTGATTGTGACTCGCGATTCGGCAAATCCAGTGTGTAAACTCGGTATTGTGGTGTAAATATTGTTGTTTAAACTCGATATGTTCCTGTTGCGGAAACTTGAAGGTTTGCTGGTGCGGACCAAGCAGAATTCAAGCCAGTTTTTGTCCACCTCCGGTACAATGGTATGCAATTCTTATTTTCATGTTTCTAATTAAAAACAATGTTCGGAACAAGTTCAGTGCCGTAAATCAATACAAGTAAATAATGTTCTACCCTTTGACCAATGTTTTAATGTGTAATAACAAGTAATCCACACACTATGATGATTTTTTGATAGAACAAGTAGTACTTTCTGTTAGCAACTTAATAAGTGCATAATGAGGTTAAATCATACCTACTACCTATTATTTTGTTACCAAAGAAGTAAATAGATAATAGTAATAAAAAATATTAATAAGAAAGTGATAACCTAATAAAGGTACCTATGTTTTTTTTTACATTTATAGCATTGCCTATAATTTGTTCTGAACATTGTCTTAGTTTTATAATGCTTAGAAAAACTAGACTACATTATTTGTTTGTTTGAGACAGAGGGTTTTGTCATCATACCTTCCAGGATTGCTTTTGTAGGTGTTTCAATTGCTGCACCAAAGGTGAGGCTTGTGTTATTTGAAAAGGTGTTGTATGTTTTACTCACTAATTTTACTAATAATACCAATATGAACTACCAATTCATTACAAATTGGTAACATGAATTCCACATTATTAAACAGACTTTTGTGTCAGAACAAGAACTTTTGTGTCTTGTTTGGGCAAAGTTTTCTAACAAAAACATGTAGTTTGATGCTGATTGCGATCTATGTAAAAAAAAACTAATTTGAGATTGCTCAAATCACACACAATTCTGAGATTTTTTATGGTCATATTGCTCTTTTTCAATTTAAATAATACGAACTGTCAAAAAACATACTAGTTCAAAAGACTGATGTTTTTTCTTGTAATTAATTTTTTTACAGCAATGTTTAATGTAGCATTTTGAAAACTCTGATCCCCTTATTACAAAAAGCAAACCAATGATCACTAGTTTAAAATGACATTTCCATGCTAAGGCTCAGTTGCACCATCTTACTCTAACCGTAACTATGACAAGATTGACAAGGTTTTTGTATGGAGTTTGAGGGACGTTTGTTACAGTTAAAGTAAGATGATGCAACTCAGCCTAAATGAATTTTTTTGTAATAAGGCACTGGAAGTTTAACATTGTTATTTGTTACAAAGATTTGCATTTATAATGATAAATTTTATCATTACCATTATCTAATCTAAATCATTGAACCAAGTATTCAGACATCATGTCCTGTATTAATAATATTTTTTATTTCTAAATTATCATAAGTACCTACCTACCTATTTAAATATTTTTCAAAAACAATTGTTTTTTTTTGTGTTAATTTTTTTTTATTTCTGTTTTTATGTAAGGTCTTACTTACAACAATGTCATCAGTGTTTAAACTTACTTGTCTAGTTTGAACTTTGGCTTTTTAAATTTACCTACTTGCAATGTTGTTTTTTTTTTTTGCATTTTGCATGACAATATTCTAAGGTATCTTCACGGTAATACTATTATTACCGTGGTATCTTACTTACTTGCTGTAACAGAAATAAATAACTGTACAATTTATCATCATTGTATTACAATGGGTATTCTGTCTTGTATTATGTAGTAGGGGTAAAGTATGAAAAGTATGAAATTGCCTATTTTTTTTTAATGTTCATTCATCATCATCATCATCATTTCAGCCATAGGGCGTCCACTGCTGAACATAAGCCTCCCCCAATGCTTTCCACGTTGATCAATTGGTAGCGGCCTGCGTCCAGCACTTCCCTGCTACCTTTACGATGTCGTCGGTCCACCTTCATTGTTCATTAGCATAATATAATTCCAACAATACAATGGCTATGTCCATTATTATTTTATTTACCAAGGTTTTTTACAATGTTATGCTATAAAAGTGCAGCTTCCTCTGACACAGGTGCTTATGTACTTAATAGAGGAAGTCCACACCTAATTTGCAACCTTAATATTGCAGCGAATAAATGTTTTATTTATTTATACAGGGTGTTAGGTAAATGGGTATATGTTAACATGGGCTAGTGTCGGCTCATATACCCATTTACCTAACACCCTGTATATTATTTTTTATTATAAACTTCGTTTCAAGGATGTTTTGTTTTGTAAATTGATGTATCCTATTATTTTTCAGAGTAACCCAATTGTGACCGTGAAAGAAGGCAAACTTAAAGGGGCTACTAAAAAATTGCTAGATGGGTCAACATACTACAGTTTCAAAGGGATCCCATATGCACAGCCTCCTATTGGAAAATTAAGGTTTAAGGTTAGTATTGTTTGCATCCCATAGTTAAGCGTGGGTGCACTTCTCTGGAAATACTTTTTTCTTCACTTCCGATGTTAACCAACAACTATTTTTTTTTATACTCTATCAAAACTTTTTTTTTCAGGCACCACTACCTCCTAAACCATGGGAAGGAATACACGAAGCCATAGAGCATGGAGCCGTTTGTCCTCAAGCAGACATAACTACCATGCAGTTAGTAGAAGGCAGCGAAAACTGTTTGTTCCTCAATGTGTACTCCAAATCGCTGCAGCCTGACGCCAAACAACCTGTCATGGTATTCATACACGGTGGAGCCTACATGTCTGGCTCTGGTGATACAGACACCCTCGGACCAGAATTCCTTATACAACACGATGTTATATTAGTCACGATCAACTACAGGCTCGAAGTCTTAGGTTTCTTGTGTCTCGACACTGCAGATGTACCTGGCAACGCCGGCATGAAAGATCAAGTGGCAGCTTTGCGGTGGGTCCAAAGTAATATCGCACAGTTCGGTGGAGACCCTAACAACGTTACTCTATTCGGAGAAAGCGCTGGTTCCGCGTCCGTCACGCAACACATGATATCTCCTATGTCTAAGGGACTGTTTCATAAAGCGATTGCCCAAAGTGGCACCTGTTTGGAAGATTGGTCAATAGGCCGCAACGCTAAAGAGCGCGCATTCCGCGCTGCTCGATATCTAGGAAATGAAACGGAAAATGTCGATGAGCTGCTTGAGTTTCTTCAGGGCGAGCCGGCAACTAATCTCGCCCACTTGACAATGAAGACTAGAACGCCTGACGAAAAATTCCGAGGACTGCCCATACATTTCACCCCAGTAGTTGAAAAGCCATTCGACAATGTAGATCGCTTTTTAGACGAAGAGCCAATCGATAAAGTTCTCACTAATAAAATCCATAAGGTCCCATTGATGATCGGCTACGTGTCTCACGAGGGGCTGCTCATGTTGGCTGATCGGTTAAGAAAAGCGGACTTATACAATAAAGAATCACATTACTTAGTGCCTAGAGACATAGCTACGAAATTATCTGACGAGAAAAGGAAAGAGTTTGGGGAGCGTATTCTGCGTTTCTACACTGGTGACAAGGGAATATCGAGCGAGACCGCTGAAGCTATTGTGGACATGCAAACTGACTTGAACTTCGCCTACAATACTCATAGATTCGCTCATTACTACTCGGCGACTAACGAGCCAATCTACCTCTACAGGTTTAGTTTTGATACTGAACTCAATTTCATCAAGTCCATCGCAGTCGGTCAGTCTCAGGTGGATATGAAAGGCGCGTGCCATGCAGACGACTTATTCTATCTGTTTAACAATGAAATGAACAAAGATTTCATCGAAAAGAAGGATTACTTGAAGAAAATTGTTTTTGATGTGACAAAACTGTGGACTGACTTTGCTAAAACTGGGTAAGGAAACATATTTTTTTATAATAATCTCTGCTTATGACGTGTATAATTCGTTCAACGAAAGTTGAGCGAACACATACTCACTCTGTTAAAAGTCTACAAGCGAGACAGTCAGCATGACTGACTATGCAAGACGTCAGTATAGACAGCGTATACAGATAGTCTTTTCATATGTCTTTTTTAATCTATGTTGATGACGTGAACTCTCGTTGCGTCCTGTATTGTGTATGAGTCAATGCACTAGAGATAAATAAATTGATTGTAATTTCTTCAGACTAACTGTCAACTAATTAATATTAAAGTAAAAAGTGAATAGCTGATTGTGCGGCACATAGAAAATAGAAAGATTTCTTTGAAGATACTTAGTGGCCTGAGGTGTTGGGAGCCTGATGACAATAATACCTAGCATACGTCAAACATATTTTATACATTCACTATGTAACTATGTACGATTTTTGTGTAAGTAAAATCAATATTTATTTATTTATTAATTTACATAACAGCAACCCAACTCCAGGCGACTCATCAGTGCGGTGGGTGCCATACACCAGGGCAGGCAAGGAGTTCCTGGACCTCAACCACTCCATGACCCCGGGTCACAACCCCGAGGGACCCAGGATCGACTTCTGGAACAAGCTATACTGTGACGCCGGCTTGCCTTGCATCACCAAGAGTACTTTGTGAAGGTACTATTTGCTCGTATGTATTTAGAAAGTATATAGAGTATTTAGTATTTAGAGATACATTATGTAAAAAGTACGTACATAATTTGATTGTGATAATATTAATGCTGCTCTCGTTGAATATTCCAGCAAAGTTAAATTGTTTATTAGGAATGGGCATAGCTGGGCATTAACTCGTTAATCCGTTAATTATTATACAACGTGTCCCAAAATTCAACGATAAGCCGGCGCCACAGGGCGGACATAGTCNTGTTCAACGAAAGTTGCAGCGAACACATACTCTGTTAAAAGTCTACAAGCGAGACAGTCAGCATGACTATGTAAGACGTCTGTATAGACAGCGTAATAGTATACAGATAGTCTTTTCATATATCTTTTTTAATCTATGTTGATGACGTCAACTCTCGTTGCGCGACCTGCTGTGTTGATGTCACCGTAAAATTGTGAATTCCGTCAGATTATAATCTGACGTAGTTAAATTACAATCTAACCTAACCTAACCCACTGTTTGTTTACAATCTAACGCGTTATATTTCGTCGGCTGTTTGGTGTAGTGGTTCAGAACGGACTACTATGCCGAGAGGTCCCGGGTTCGATTCCTGGCCGGGCAGAAATTGAAATGATTAATTTTAATTTCTGTGACGGGTCTGGGTGTTACTATGTATAATATTTATGTATTTAAAAAAAAAAAAAGTATATAAGTAGTATATCCGTTAAGCTAGCACCCATAACACAAGCATTAAGTTGCTTACTTTGGGGCTAGCTGGCGCTGTGTGAAATTGTCCAAAGATTATTTATTTATTTATTATTTATATTATAAACTGACAGAGTTCACAATTTCACGTTGACATATACAAGTCAATGCACTTGAGACATAAATAAATCGACACAATATAATTTATTCAGACTAACTGTCAACTAATTAATATTAAAGTAAGTCAGTTTTGTCCGCAGTTCATCAATATTTTCATATTTCCTGTTGTATACCTACCAGATAAAGGGCAAGAGCTTCCTCGTTGTGGATAAAAAAATGTTCTGTTCAGTTTTGTCTCTAAATGTGTTCTAAACTTAGGGGATTACAAACATTACTTAGTCCAAAGAAAGTCAAAAACATGTAACGGAATCTCCGACTTACCACTTTAGTGGAGCGATTACAGAAAATAGTGGCATGTTTTTTTGTGTTATTATGAAAGTTCAGAAAACTGCGCAGTTTTTAAAATTATTTTGAACCTATGGAAGTTCTTTTTCTTTGAAATCGATAGGTCTAGTCCTCACCTATCACCTGCTTACGGCTTGATACCTTACAAGAAACACCCTGTATATTTATTTATTAATTTACATTACAGCAACCCAACTCCGGGCGACTCATCGGTGCGGTGGGTGCCATACACCAGGGCAGGCAAGGAGTTTCTGGACCTCAACCACTCCATGACCCCGGGTCACAACCCCGAGGGACCCAGGATCGACTTCTGGAACAAGTTATACTGTGACGCCGGCTTGCCTTGCATCACCAAGAGTACTTTGTGAAGGTACTATTTGCTCTTATGTATTTAGAAAGTATATAGAGTATTTAGTATTTAGAGATACAATATGTAAAAAGTACGTACTTAATTTGATTGTGATAATATTAATGATGCTCTCGTTGACTATTCCAGCAAAGTTAAATTGTTTATTAGGAATGAGTTAACAGTGTAGTGGTTAAGAGTGATCGAACTACCGAAACTTGAATTGGTAGTACAACATGGAAACTGTTGGGCTATTAAAGATATTAAACTGTTTATTGTACAGTGCAATTCAGTGCATACTACGCCGAGAAGAACACAAGTTTATGTGAAGTTTGTGAAGACATTATGCATATTAGTTAACCCACTTGTTACGGAGTTCACTTTTTCTATCACTTACCTTAAATCAGTCATCTTTCAAATGTTGCACATAAAAATTGTTTACACTACCCACATTAGTAAAAATATTTATGTAAAAACTAGCGTTTTTTAAAAGAACGCTAGTAACAAGTGGGGTAAGTTTCTGTAGTAATGCATTTATTAATAAATGTTAAGGTATTTTATTTAAGTAGAAGTAGTACCAATGTAATACAGGGTTTTGGGGGTGGAGTAGATGATAGATATAATGCATGGAATATTTAAAATAATAGTAAATATTATAATAATGAAACAAAAAAATTAAATTAAAAATACCCAAATGATTCCTCTTTATAATATTAGTAAAGTAATAGATATGTATTTTAAATCCTAGTTTTGTCACCCAGTTGATTGAATTTGATACAAGTTTTGGTACAATGGCTCCTTCATGGAAATTTCCATGTCAATATGAATAATTAATTTTATAAAAGTACCTTTACGTACACGACGCGAATGCACAAAGGTTATTTTCACAAACAGGAAAAGAGTCACCGATACTCTGCTGTAAAAAAAAACTTTACCAAGGGCATCTTCAATTTTCGCCTCGCGGAAGGTGCGATTTATTTGATGTTGAGTATTATTATTTCTTCATTTATTTTGGGTGGAAATATTTTTACTTTATGTAACGTGTTATGGGCAAGATTGTATGGAGAGAAAAAGGTGTCCCTTTAATTTTGATAGTAATGTGCAGATACTTAGGCAGATTTATGAGCAAAAAACGGTATTTATACAGAGTGGCCAAAACAGTTTCTAAAATAAAAAAAAATAGATTCCTTACAAAAAAGTGTATTCAAATCACCCCAATGTATGTTCTACGATTTTGCTTAGTTTAGGACAGTGGTTCTTAACCTTTAAGTCATGAGGGACCATTTTACCAAATTTCTTGTCTTGTCAGGGACCACCTCATAATCGGTCAAAACCAGTTTGACTGCAAAAATCTGTTAAAAGTGGTTTTGACCAAGGTGTGCAAGTGCACATCGTGGACCACTTGGAATGCCTCCAGGGACCACCAGTGGTCCGCGGCCCACCGGTTAAGAACCACTGGTTTAGGAGATAGAGTTAATTTTGTGATATTTTAAAATTTTATGACCTCTAAGCAANTGCTTATTTATTTATGTTCGTTCGTTTCAATCAAATGACGTCCACATCTGGACAAAGGCCACCCCCAAGGATTTCCTTAAAGACCGGTCCTGCGCTGCCCGCATCCAGGCTTCTACAGCGACCTTCACCAGATCGTCGGTCCACCTAGTGGGGGGCCTGCCCACTGTGGTCGCCACTCGAGAACTTTTCTGCTCAAACGGCCCTCATCTCTACGAGCTATTTGCCCCGCCCACGACCGCTTGTATATCTATGAGTATGCATAAAGCATGCTTATTGCTCTCAAATGTAAACTAACAGTTGCAGACCATGCTAATTTAATCAAGATTTATGAGCATGCTTTTTTTGGAGCATGTCTGTCAGTACCTAGTTATTTATTGATGATGGATATTCAATTGTTATTTTCAGAGGTCTTTAAAACCTATTTTTTTTTCATTAAAACACAAATAACATAATATTAATAAAAAATACAAATGTTTGTGAAACCTATTTTAGTTAAAATAATATGTTTTTTCCCTGTCATTCTTTTCGCTTGCCATACCCGGGAATCAAAGTGACAAAATTATTTACAAAAAATGGCTTATGGTGAATTTTCGACCGGTCCTGCGCCGCTCGCATCCAGGCACTTCCCGCGACCTTCACCAGATCGTCGGTCCACCTAGTGGGAGGCCTGCCCACGCTACGTAAATAAATGTATCATTTTTTTTTATTTGTTGCCATTTTCTGAGTATTTTATGAATTTTTAAGTATCGCCTGTTATTTAGCATTATTACTGTTTTTATTTTAACAAGATATACCTCTTAGTTTAAAAGTTATTACGTTTTCTTTACAATAAGTAATTGAAAAAAAAAGTATAAAAAATGGACGAAGTTCTAAATTAATTGCTCCCTGTTGGTATGAATAAGCAACTAGGTGAAAGAAAGAAAATAAATTTATTTTGGCAACAACAAATTCAGGCAAACAAAGACATACACTATTTAAAGACATATATTATACAATGTATAATATGTATGTATTTAAAAAAAAAACGTGTATAAGTAGTATATCCGTTAAGCTAGCACCCATAACACAAGCATTGAGTTGCTTACTTTGGTGCTAGCTGGCGCTNCTAAGCAAAAGCTCCTAAATCGTAGAACATACATGGGGGTGATTTAGATACACCTTGATGTCAGGAATCTAAATTTTTCTTTTAGACCTCACTATTTTGGCCACCCTGTATGTATTTCGCTTACCTCAGTCAGTGCCTGAGGCAAGGGAGCGGCACAAGAGGTGTAACATTGGGATATTATTATGATATTATGACATGACAGAGCACACAAATCTGAAGTCTCGCTGACGTTTGACCGTCACAAAACACCCTTCTCGTGGCCTTATATTCATAATATTAACACGACAATTATTATAAAGTTTGTCTAGTCTCTCAGTCAGCAATTGTTTATGAAGATGTTGTAATGTATTTGTTATCTGTAATTTATTTTATTTATATTATAATCTAGACAATTTAAATATAGTAGTTTGTTGTATATTATGTATTATAATGAATATAGCTGTTGACTATTTTATACAAAGATATTTTAAACCGAATTATATTAAGAATGTGATATTTACTCATAAGGACCTACATTTTGATATATCTACTTTAAAGTAGTTAGTAGTTAGTTAGTAGTTAGTTAGTAGTTTACACAAGTTTTATAACATTGACATATCAATAAAATTAAAATACAGAAAGTTTGCGTATTATTACTTGTAGTTATATTTTAACACACAGTAGGTACACACCGAAACAAGCTTTCAGACATTGTGAACACAAATTACAACATATTATTTTTAGAAAACTATATCTACTTCTAAATTAGCAAAGGTTAAAAATAGTGAAACAAGTACCCTTTGAGCCTTACAAATGTTCAGTGCGATAGGCAGGATGTCACATTATTTGCCTGGTATTATAAGAATTATTAAATATTTTAGCAAATACAGATAACAAAGGATATGTTAATATTTTATAATAATGGCCCTTTAAAGTTAACTGGGCAAAAACAATATCTAAATAAGCTGCCGAATAAATGTTTTATTATGCGATGCGTACATAGTACATAAGAGTGACGTCATAACTAGAAGTCGTTTAGTATGGAGCGTTATTGGGTAAGTCCATTATTATGATCGTCAAAGATAGAGTAGTAAAATCTCTTAAGGTAGGAGGAGGTTTAAGAAGGTAATTTCTTTCTGTAAAAGTGCTTTTTTAACGGCGTTTACCCGTGGTCCCCCCAACATGTCCCCCTGGTGGGTCCACGGGTAATTTCTTTTACCCGTTGTCCCACCGTTCTGAACAGTTTTTGCCAGTGGGTCTACGGGTAATTTATTTTAACCATAGTCCCACCGCACAGTGGTAAACGTTGCATGTCACCTAGGTATAATTATAAAAAAATCTATAATTATTAATTAGAACTGGCCCCATAGCAGACATTTTCCTACATCTAAAGGCCTTTTGAAATATATATTGGTTATGGCTATTGGAGCGGGTACCACTTTCCATACATTTGTGCCCATCATCCTTTACTTTCAATTTTATTCCAAGAAGAAAATTTATTTTATTTTATTTTATTTCTTTTATTTATTTGGAAACTCAACAGCTTTGTCGACAATTTACATGTTACAGAGTAGTACAATATACAGTGTGAGTCACTTTAAAGTGTAAATATGAAAATAGATGAAACTAGACCTATTTTTATCGACAAAAAAAAGGTAAAAAAAATTTTGAGATATTTTTTTATTTTTTATAGATTTTTTTCTTCCAACTACTTATTGTAAAGTTAAAATTAAAATTGTCTCTACCTGTAGCAGAGAATAATGTTGTGGCAGGCCTTTGTTCAAACGATCATAGCGATTTTTGGTTTTACAAAGGTAATACGATAAAGAATAATACAATGTAATAAAAACCNAAATAAGTGTATTTTCATTAGTGTAATATAGAGGTGGGCGCCGATATACAATTGGCCGGCGGCGGCGCGCCGACTTTTTGACCTCTGCGGCGGCGGCGTCGGCGGCGTGACCTTGTTTGACCTTTGTTCATTAGGTTTTTTTTTAAATCTGCTTTTTTAGTATCTGTCATTAAGACTAATCAGGTGATTTGCAGTTGGTTGGGGTTTGAGCCACTAGAGCAGTGGTAAACCCTAGTAAATTAGCTCTTGATCATAGATAATTTGATATTTGGATAGCGGGTTTGGCTGACATCAGGTTCTCATGTATTTCCTAAAGGCGAGCGTACCAGTGTGCCGATAAAAGTACCCTTAACATGTATTTTTGAGCTCTTTGGAGGCACATAGTTAATGTTGGATTAGCTGACTGTCGGTGGAATATTTTATTTAGTTCTGTTTTATTTGTATTTATGGTCTTTCCATTTCATCCTACGGTCCAGGATTTTAATGCAGGTTGATTGCAGCAATGTGTCGAGGTCTAGATTGGCCGGAGGATAAGTTTCACATCTTAAATGATAATATGGTCAGACTTCGGGGCTTAATTACATGCGCCACTTGGTCAGCCAAGCAGCTGAGTTTACAACAGTCTAGTCTAGCGGTTCCCGAATGGTGGTCCGCGGAACCCTGGGGTTCCGTGGAAAGGCCGCAAGGGTTCCGTAAAAAATATTATCCCACGTTTCGTGACCGACGTTGTTCGCTCGCACCGACTTGTTTACGCACAAGGGAGGGGCAGGGCGTGCGGGCGGAGTATACGGGGGTTCCGCTAGGAAAAGTATAATCAATTAGGGTTCCTTGGCAAAAAAAAATTGGAAAACCCTGGTCTAGTGACTGGGCTACTTTACTAGTAGATGTTATAGAGTAACGGACCAAGTACAGAGTCCTGGGGTACTCCAGCTCTGCAGCTAAAAAGAGAATATTTTGTCACCAAGTTTGATTTAAAACTGTC